ACCATGAGTGAAATATATAAACACATATGTATATGTTTCTATGCATATATACATGCTTATCTACGCACAAATGATCTGTAGAAGGAAGGAAATGAAATGTAACATTGGTCAAAATAGAGGAAAGTAATAGTAAGAAGACTTACATCCCATTATATACCTGAATTTTATAATAGATGCATGTATTACTTAAATATTATTTTTTCACACATTCATTAAAAGAGAAACAATGAGGGGCCGGCCCTGTGGTGTAGCGGTTAAGTGCGTGCACTCTGCTGCAACGGCGCCAGGATTCACCGGTTCGGATCCTGGGCGTGCACCGACGCACCGCTTGTTAAGCCGTGCTGTGGCGGCGTCTCATATAAAGTAGAGGAAGATGGGCACGGATGTTAGCTCAGGGTTGATCTTCCTCACAAAAAAAATAAAATTAAATACATATATATATATAAAAAAAAAAGAGAAACAATGAGGCCAAAGTCCCTGTCTTGGACAGCCACATGGGTGACATCACAACGATAGGGAACACAGAGGGCGGAGGAACTGAGGATCCTGAGTTTAATTGATAAAGTCATTCCTTCACCCATTCACCTATGAAATAAATATTTATTTGGAGTCTCTTATGTCCTGGGTGCTGAGCATACAGCATGGAACACATTAAGGAGATGTTTAGTATGAGGTGTCGGCAGGAGCATCTCAGTAGAAATATGTGGGAGGCAGTCATTAGTAAATCCCACATGGAATCGATTCCCGTCACTCCTCAGAGGCTCTTTGATCATTTCTCATCCACAGCTACAGAATGAATGACTGCAGCTGTTGGAAATACAGACTATTCCTCTTTTCAGAAGCATCACTTCAAATGCATGCTTCTCAAATGTTAAGAGTGGCAGGAAGGGTACAATGGAATCCAAACTGGCATCACCATTTATCAGTGTATCAGAGGAGAGAGCTTTGTCTGTCTGGTGCATGGTTTCAGCAGGCCTATTCCATTGAATACAGAAGCGTTCCCATTTTCCAGTTCTGATATTGATGACTTTTGTGTTTAACTGAATCTCTTACATAGGATTTCATCTGCATTACGGTTTCCACCACTTGACATTACACGACTTATCCACTACCTCTTGGAGTCTCCAACTATATTATAACAATTTTTAGGTTAAAATAAAATATAGCTCCAGCTTCTTATACAAGGTCTTGGTTCCAGCATGACTTTGCCATCTGTTGTGTGATTCTAGTCAAAGACCAAACCCCCTGAGCCTTTGTTTCCTTATCACAAAATGGCAACAACACTGGCTGCTCAGATGTCCTAAAGAGTAATGAAACTAAAATCACGTCGCATATAAAAGGGCTTTGGCTAATTCTTTAGCCCAACAGAAATAGTATTAATGCTTAATATTGTTATTATTGCTATCATATGGATAATAAATAAAAAGTTGTTTGCTTAAAAGGCAATTACGTTTCTTTTTCAATTTTAAGTGGTCAATGAAAGAAGATTACCTCAAAAAATCAAATTCATCTTATCTTTTTATCATCACTAAAAAACGTTCTTATTATATTTTTAGAAAAAGAAAAAAAAACAATACCAAACACGCTCAACCTGAACATGGAGCACGGCTCACAGGGCGCCACGGGTACCATTTTCTATGGAAGATACTTCTAGTAGACTTCTCAGTCTTTGGTACAGTTAATACCCACTGCTTTCGCCATCTCCTCATTCGCAAGCATAAAATTACCAATACTAAAGATTGTATATTTAAGAGTTGGGTTTCAACACCTTTTTAATTATAAGCATGTGATTACAGATTTATGCATTTTCATCGTGGTTCTATTCCTCTAGTTCAGCTACAATTTGCTATGCTTCGTTTACGGAAGAAACGTTTGGGAAAAGAGTGGTTGAGGTATGGAGAGCATGGCTAATGAAAAATCTCGTTAACCATTTCTGATTTATAAAATCACAATAGTGACTTCATTTAATAGCGTGGAGAGAAACTAGCTTTTTTTGTTTAATTTGCCACTCACCCAAAAACAGTTGAGCTTAAGTTTTAAAATATACATTTATCAAAATATATCACATGAGTAAAAAGGCTGTGAAGGCCAGCAGCAGAGAACTAGGCTCCCATTTCTTGCCCAGTCACCTCAACATGCAGACACATATAAAGACAATCCACTACATCTGAGGTCCTTTAGAGCTCAGCACTATGGTTTTCATATCCACAATTTGTACACAATACGACTTCAATTCAAAAAGAGAGAGGAAAAATAAAAAGGTACGAGCGCACTGAGTTCTGAGAGAAAGGTTAGCTAAGCATGAGGTTCCCCAGTAATTTCATTTATCTCATCTTCCTTACCTCTTGTTTTCGGCTCCTTAAAAAAAAACAAAAAAACAAGAAAGGAAGGAAGGAAAAAAAAAGAGGCACAAAAGAAGATTTAACAAAAACTGCAGATAAATGCCAAATAACCATTTGGAGATTACCAATTAGTCTTCTTCATAACACAGGCACAAAAATAAAATCATCACATATGTTGGCACAGATTACACATAAGCTAAATTATAGTAACTTTGATTAAACAGTCAAGTCAAACACTTCTGCATCGTTACAGTCGTCCCACAATAACTTTTAAAATTGTTGCAGAGTTGTGCCCTTCTACTTTCTCACTTCTCTTGAATGTTAAAAGCTCAAAAACTGGTTTCTGCCCAAACTGATCCAAGAAAAATGTTTCATTCAGAAACACGTACCGCTATGATCATTCCCTCCTTTCTGAAACTCTTCATAACTCTGGCTTCCATCATAACAGCCTCTCTTTGTTTTCTTCCTCTCTCTCTGACTACTAACACCTGTTAGGGCTTCTCTTCCTCCGTCCTTCTTATAAATGTATTTTCCTCCAGAACTCTAACCCTGGGTCTATTTTTCTTACCTAGGTGACCATATCCACTCAAGAATCACCTTGCTTATGATGTCCAATCCTCCATCTCAGCTCTCTCTCCCATGTCCAATGTATATATCCACCTGCTCACCAGATAAATCCACCTGTGTGTCTACTTACAGGTGATCATGCTATCCATCCAAATCCTTTCCTATTTTTACATTCTCTATCCCAGTGATTAACACGACCACTCACCCAGCCACTCAAACCTGAAATCTGGACACCTATCCATCACCTCTATGTCCATTTGGTCACCAAGAAATTTCTGTTCTATTTATTATCCCTCAAATCTATGCTCTTTTCAGCACCATCACTACTTTCTTTGAGCAGGGCCTCCTTGTTTCTCTAGCAGTGTGCCTTAACAATTTTATAAGTGGTATCCTGTATCTGAGTCCAACCTGCCTCTGTTTAGCCCTTCCACATTGCTGCCAGTGTAACCTCTCAAATCTTTAAACCTCTGCTCCCCAAGACTTCAGGATGAAACCCAAGTTCCTCAGCCAGGTTTGGAGATGTGGTGGTGGGTAGGTGTGGGAGCTTCTGTATGATAGCGTCTGTTCGCTCACCACAGTATGAGGTGAAGTTATCATTACAGTCACCCTAAACGGAACAGGAGGTTTGAGATTGTGGAGGTTTGAGAGGAGAAGATAGGAACAAGTCTCAGAAACTTAGAGCTAAATTTGCAAGGGAAATCTTAGCATTGCTGAGTAGAAATGAGTTCCAACAGCAGGTCTGTGGTCATGACTTAAAGGCGACCCTAATCAGTGTTGTTGTAAGAGCCCGACCCTCCTCCCTGCTAAAAGGGCGAGCTACTCTGGTGCAAGTATGGAGACAGAAAGAGATGGGCTTAGTGAGGGTTGTTGGGCTTTTGCCTGGTGAGCAAGACTGCGTGTGCCATGTGTCATGCATTGTTCTGGGTAGCGAGATACAACGAGAAGCAAAGCAAAGCCACCCTCTTAATGGAGCTTACATAGTTGAGGGACAAATAAATAATACAACTGCAGAGGGTGGTAAGTATTATAAAGAATATAAAGCTGGGAGGAGGTCAGAACATTATTCATTAATATTATATTCTCAAGTCTCCTAAGAATGGTACACAGCTGCACCATTACCAACAATGAATGCCTTATGGCAGTCAGACTCAATTCTCTAAATCTGCCTATTTTAGAGCAGAGGTGAGGGACATTCCCAAGGAAGAGGTGTTTAAGCAGAGACCATGCAATCTTGGCTAGAGTAGAATTGTGAAGACAGGGAAAGAATGGGTGCATCAATGGATTGTAGGGTAGATGAAATCCAAAGACTGTTGGAGGGTCGTCCACAGACCACAAGAGCTGAACTACAAGGATAAGAGATGCTGTTAGCATGTTGTGGGAGCTAATGCAATAAAAACATATGGCCAGTATTGGGTATAGTCTCTTGAATTGTTTGAGAGAGATTTTAGATTTTGAAAATGAGGTGATTTCAAACAGCAAGACTTCTAATAGATTCTTCTTCTTTAAAAAAAAAAAATTTGTTTCTTTAATATCTTCTGAAACTTTCCATCCCTGCTTATCTCATAGGAACACAGGAAGAGTCAATAAGCTAATATTTATAAAGTTTTTAAGCTCTCTGGAAAAAAGGTGTTCAATATCCAGAGGTATTTATACATCCTATAAAAAAATAGCATATAACGTTTTCAAGATCTGAAAAACATCAATCTACTTTGTTTTTGGGCACAATGTCTTGACAAACCAAATAAATACCAGGTTGAACTGAAGTCATAAACACAGTTAGAACTTAGAAGAATATCTCATTTTCTACCACAAAAAGCATAAAACTTAATGTCTTTATAAATATGTGCTATTTTAACCAATATCTATTGTGTTTGCTGTCATTAAAAAAACAATAATAATGAGCATTAGCCACAAAATAGCATATTAAGCAAATTGCTAGTCTCTCAAAACTGTGTAACTCACGATTAAATACAATTTGTTTTCCTGTGACGTCAAAATAATCCGTTTGAAACCAATGCGGATTTTTAAAAAATACTTTCTACCTTTCTGCTGAAAAAGGAAGGAAAACCGACATATCTCTTCAGAATTTACCTTGAATGATAAACTGTTCCATGTTTTCTTTGAAAGGCTGGATGTGCTCTTTCGAGGATACCTGGTACACTTTCCCCGCTTCAACCTCACAGGCTGAAATTAGACAGAGACATTATTTAGAATATCACACTGTTAATGGAGCATTAGAACCATTTTGAAAACATATTAGCTAATGTTAGAAAATCCTGTCAACCATGCTAATTGACATACGTTCTACACATATTTTGTAAACATCCAAGTACTGACACAAGAAGCCTAAAATCAAGACTTCATTTTAGGGGACTGTAAAAAGAAATTCTTAAGAATCCATAATCCCAGTTCGGTCACTTCCAAACTGTGTCAACTTGGACAAGTTACTGAACCTCCAAGCCTCAGTTTCATTTTTAGAATGGGCATGACCTTGCGCCAACCTCTCAGTGCTGTTATGAGGGTCAAATTAGTTAATGGATGCACAGTGTTCAAACAGTGCCTGGCACACAGTGAAGCCGTAGGTAAGTATTTCTCATCAGTAGCATTATCATCATTATCAAATGACTTCTAACACAAGTCTATCCCCAATTTAAGGCCAAATTCCTGAAAGATAACAAATAACAACTGTGGTGGAAATGTGAGTATAGCTACCAATAATTATGGAGCATATATTACATGGCAGATGCTTTTTATCTACTATTTAACTTAATCTTTAGAATAAGTTAGTAAAGTAGACATTATTACCCCATTTTACAGCTGAGGAAATTAAGGCTCAAAGAGGGCACTAATTTGCTCAAGGGTCCACAGATAATAAGCGGCAGACGCATAATTGAAATCCTGATCTGACTCCAAAGTGTATACCCTTTCCATGCCTGTGTCATCATAAATGCCTTAGTAGTCTACAGATCCCACTTGGGTTAATTGGGAAGTATTTCTAAGAAAATTCCTAAAGAAATTTCTGCCACTATGGTGATAATGAGAAACCTAAGCACAAAAGAAAATAACTCAAAATTGAAAAGCACATATTTGAAAGAAAAAACTTAGAACAGATAAACGTCTGACTCAGAAAACCATACCCTCACTACAGTTCTTAAGGTAAGGTGGCCAATTCTCAAGGCGGCTTTGTAATTATACTCGAAAATGTTTTCTTTCTCTTCTAAAACCATATTTTCCTTTTCTTTCCCCTTCAGATCACTAGCTTGTCTAAGCAGGAGAATACACGAGGGCTGTGTTGTTAGCACACATTCTCCCCATCAAATGTAAAAGACAATTAGGCGTAGTAACGTTTAAGACAAGTTACGCACATCTAGGGTTCTCTCTGCCCATTTCCCCCACCCTCCTCACTCTCTGCCTGAGCAATTCCTAGAATGCTGTCACCTGCCCAGCCCACATCCCTAGCACAGGTATCTTGTAGCTTCAGGCTCCTACATGAAACCTCCCCAAATATCACACACTCAGTATTTCCAGTACAGAACTCATCAGCCTTCTCTAGATTTGCCACCTCCTTTACTCTATTCTTGTTGGTGGTACCACTGTCTAACCCAAATAACTCAAACCAAAGCCGGAGAGTTATTCCTGACTCCCTCTCCTTATCCCAACATCCTGCTGATGTTACCTCCTACATGCTTCTTAAGCCTGCCTGTCCTCTCCATTCCTGGTCTATTCTGCGACAAATGCTCTTATCGTTCTTACCTGGGCTACTGTAGAAACCTCTTAACTGGGCTTCCTACCTCCAGTCCCCCACAGACCCATGCTCCTTCTCATAGCTGAAAAAGCTATCCAGAAGAGACCTGACCAGTCACCCACCCTCACAACCACACCCTGAAGAGAGGAACAATTTAAAAGCCTACAATATGAAGTAGAGCACTTTGCACAATCTAGGCCTTGCCAAACATTCAAGTCACCCACCTCTACTCCTGGTATTTTTTGTGCAGACTCAGTGCAATTTCTCATCTCCTTGTCTTTGCTCATGTTGGCTCCTCTGCTTAGAATGCTTCTCTCCTTACCCTCGTCATTTAACTCATCAATTCCCATAGCTGTTCATGCCTTAACCCGGGTGTAACTGCTCCTAACAAGCATTCCTTCACCACCCTATAGCCCCTGCTCTCCTCTACTCCCTACACCTGTCTCCAGGCAGGATTGGGTGTCCCTCCTCTGTGATCCCACAGCATCTTGTGCACGTAGAATTAAAGCTATTATTTATTGAGTACTTTTTATGTGCCAAGGACTATTTCTAAACACTTTACATACATTCTCCCATTCGATCCTCAAAAAATCTTTTGAAATAGATTAGTAATATGCTTGCTTATGCCAGAGAAAAATGAAATACAAAGAGACTGCTCAAATTTACACAGTACATCAGGGGGGATTTAACACCACCTTCCACACCGTATTCAACTCGTTAGTAATTGTGTCTATTCTGCCCCACGAGACTGAGTTCCTTGAAGAGAGGCAATCTAGTTCCCATATGTATTCCCAGGGCCTGATACAAGCAACACATTGTTGTTGGATGGCTTAGTGGCTGGATAAACAGCTTCTGAAGCAGAAATAACATCTAGATTTTGGAATCTAGCAGACAGAGTTTAAATTCCAGTTCACTCATCCACTGAATGAGCCTAGTGATTTGGACCTTAGTGTCCTCTTTAGACCTTAGTTTCCTCATCTGACAGTGGATTTAATAAAACGTCTCTCTAACATTAGCATGACTATTAGCCAAAATGGGTCAAAAATTCCTGACATTGAACTTAGGACATATAAGTAGAGGCACCAAAAGTAGTGGCTACTGCTGCTATTGTTTTTATATGACCACGTATAGTTTAGATTAGAGAAATTTAACATGAAATACCATAGCTGCTTTTAAAGTGTGGTCCCAGGGACAGGAGGGTATAAACCTCCTCCATGATGATTCCAAGGAAGGAGGAAGGTAACCAGTGGAGGAAGCAGAAGTGAGAGAGAGATTTCGGTTCTAAGGACAGGGGAAGGCTCATGTGTAGGGAATTCCTACAGGGGAGTACCAGCCTTGTGAGGTGGTGAGCACCTCATCAGTGGCACTCTTCAGAAGACAGAGGGCTACTTGTCAGCTATGTAGTGAAGGGATGGGTCTGATGAGAAGAGGCTCGCAGTCAGCATCCTTTGGGCCATGTCACTCACGACAGCCCCATCTAGCCTCTCTAAAAGTATAGAAATTAGGATTCTGAATATAAGAGGAACAAGTTGCATCATTTAAAGGAAATGGGGCAGAGATTTATCAGGCCTTCTTGTCATTCACTGAATTATTTCTGGCAAAATCACATGAGGAGATGTTCTCAAAGGTCTTTCGGCAGGTTCTAACTGTTAACCCATCTATTCATGCACGACACGGATACTGACCGACCACCTACTGCATTCAAGGGACTGTTGTAGGCACTGTGACTACTGCCGTGAACAGAGCAGAACTGCTGTGACAAATCTCTGCCCTTAGGGGGCTTGCCTTCTATTAAACTATACGGTCTTTAAGGAATTATTTTTCAATCCCAACGAGAAAAATAAAATATTAATAGCCTAGTGTCTAATAGCTTAGGCCAGCACGAAAACAAGAAAGAATCCAGTATCTCACCTGGTCTGATTTTCAAGACTTAAAAGCCTGAGGTAAGGAAGATTAATAGTTTGACTCTTAGTCACAACTGTTTCATTTGTCATTTTTTTATTAGAAAATGGAAGCAATAACTGTCTTTTTATGTATGATGCTGTTCTATGTCTGTAGGACACTAGGCAGCTGTAGGAACACCCTAACACTAGGAACCTACAGAGGTTAAGCTAATGGGTCTAGTGCCTTCAAGGAGGATTTCATTAGCTAAGAAAGCAGAGTTAGATCAGACTAACCATGAAAAAATCTTCTGAAATGTGCCAAAATTTCTCTAGGTCTTCATTTTTACATTTTAATATTGTTGAACTTTTAAACAACAGAATATATAACAGATAAGAAGAAAAAGTATAATAAAAAATTTAAAAACTGAAGGAAAATTACATTTTAAATTAATTTTCACCTAATTTTATAAATGTCCTTGGCCCATTCATATGAACTGTATTCTTAACATAAACGTAAGCAAAAACTATTTTTGCTATTTCTTCTATCTTCTCCCCTTCACTTATAGTACATTTTCCTGTACATAGTGGGAACCATGTAGAATTTTAGATCTATAAAAATTCTAAGGTCATTTACTGACAACCTCATCTCATTTCCAGTCCTCCTTCCAGAAGGCCACAGAAGATGCTGGGTCAAGTATCTCAGTGTTTCCAGTGATGCCCGTTCATTTCTCTGCCAGGCAGTTTTTTCCTTACTGAGCTTGTCCAATTACTAGAGTTCTCAACTGTATACTGAGTAGGACTCTCTCTCTACAGGGTATCCCTGTGGAATGATACATCTGGATTTTCCTTTAAAATATTCCAGGTATACAAACATAATTACTTGTGTAATTAAAAAGTAAGTAAAAAAAATTTTAAGTCCACCATAGATAGTTCAGGTCTTTAGTAAGTCACAGAAAAATTCCACTCTCTTTGAGGACAGATGAGGACACTCATCTCCCACCATTCTGCATTTACTCATTCCACTGTGTTTCTGGGACTTAGAATATTCCCTGGCAGGCAATAGGCATTCAACAATTACCTGTGGAATGAATGGATAAATGAATTGGATCCACCTGTCATAATGAATTTCTTTTTAATTTTCAAAATGTCATATCTATTCAAATTTCCCCACACCTTATGCGTACTATTCACCCACCTGACATATTCTTACTCCTCATGACCACTAGTTGAACTTCTTATCCATCCATATCCAACTATCACCCCAAGCCAAGGTCAATCCGCCCTGAACTTGTATCTCTATCTTCTATAGAACATGTACGAATGATAGAAGATAAAGCAAAGCTTTGGATGAAAGAGGTCTGGATTCAAGCCTAGTTCTACTGGTAGCTAAGTGACCTTGGGCTAGTTTCTTAAATTATCTGAGCCCCAGCTGCCTCAACTAGAAATTGAGATGATAAAGGCAGTGCACCTGAGTGCTAAGCACTGAGCTGTTAAGAAGGTCTCAAAAAATGACAGCTATTAATGATATTATCTCACTGCATTTATTTATGTATCTT